TCCTTCGATACCGCTGGTCTAGTGACTCAGTCAGTATAATAATTAATAAGAGATTAAACGGCTAAGTGCCGGAGTTTCATGAATAGGAGCTCGTGCTCTTGATTTGTTAACCATCCATATAGAACAAAACTTAAGAATTGACAAAAGCTCATGCCTGGCCGGATGCTCGTGGCAGACCGCTGACCTTGCACATTTTGCAGAAGTCATACGATCGCTGTCGGCCAATGAGACAAAGCCACAGCGCATAATGGCATAATATGCTGGCTAAGCTCTCGGGCCCATTAGGGTGGGATCAATTTAGGGTGGACCATACAAGAGTGTAATAATAATAGCAACAATAAAAACTGATGAATAATAAAAAATTATTAATAATAAAAATGATTAATATTAATAAATGATTAATACTAATCAAGGAAATAAAAATTGACCTGCTCAGCCTAAGCTGGGAGTTGGTTGTTAACTACTCCCCCCTTAAATTGGATCCCGTCCTCGGTGACAGCAATTCGTCGATGGACCTTTGTAACTGGGATGCCTCTCGTTTGCGCCTGCAGTGTTGTTGGAGCAGGACCAAGCCGCATAGTGTGAGGCTAACGGCGACTCCTGCGGCGAACCAAATCCCCGGGGATCCTCCAGCCGACACGTCATCTCCGAGTTCCTGCATTAAACGCGGGCTATGCTCGTTCACCCGCTGTAGTAGTTGCAGACTTGGTATGTGATCGTGTCCTGTGATGTTAATTAAAGGGAAGGCCGCAATACCCGGACTCTTATTCACAGAGTAGTTGAGGTTCAAATACACGGAGTCGTTGATCACCGCCTTCCTCTCGAAAGTGATAAGGTGGGTCCCTACTATAGTTGTTGTGGGACCATCATCGATACTAATCCTCGTTAATTTTTCGTTGACGATTATTACTCTGTCATCCACGATTGTAAGGGGTTCCAGATTACTGGGACGCGTCCGGCATGTAGCCGCCTCACCAGCATGTAATTGCCTGGCGCAAGTGTCGTGGGACGCCTTTTTGCAAAATGTGGCCAAGTTGGTAGAAGCGCAATCGGAGACTACTAGGATTCCGTCATCACATTCCGCCACGATGTTGTCTTCTATTTGTAGCACAGTATGGTAGTGTGCGACAGGGAAGAGCAGGACTTTTTTACAAATAATAAATAAACAAAAAACAAAATACAAATAAATGTTGGCCTCGATAAGCGATGCTTGATTGGTGTTAATTCTACTAAGATCATCCGCGTAGTTGTACCCGCCACAACCTTATGGACTGAACCGAAAAAATCGAGGCTCCTGGCCATTCTATGGTGTATCTGAAGCTCATCCAAAATGTTCTGGGCATGTTCGATGTCAACTTCCAGCAGCTTCCTTATGTGGGATTGTGGTAACAGTTTCAGCATTCTGACCGTGAAGTCGATTATGCTAGCAAACTCGGACAGATTTGTCGAGGCCTGACCAGGCCGTACTGTTTCCATACTGAAACATTCCCGTCTAATACCGGGATGTATTTTGCATGCGAGAAGTCGGTGATTCGCGCGCTTGCCGTGGACAGCAGTATGATGGACATTATGGGAACCCTGTGGGAACTATAGCAAATATTGAGTTTTAGTATATTATAAGGGCGAATGTGGCAGATGAAATGCCTATCTGATGTTGTCCTTATGGACCACCCTCCCCCTAATGAGAACATATGTTCCCAGATCTGCTTCTACAAGCTCTGAATAAAGCGGTGCCAATTTGTTGCCTAATCTCTTGTTGTTGCGTAGGTGTACTCTTTCACCGACTTCACAGACCCGGTTCCGCCTTGAAGGATTAACCCTGTCTAGGTTAGACTGTTGTGCCTTGTCAATTTTAGCTTTAATTGCCAGCTTCATCTCATCGCTGCTGGCGTTAATGACCTCCACCGGCCTAAACTCTGTGACCGAATGTAGTGATCTATTGTATTCTATCGTAGACCGCAATATTAGTTCCACAGTATTCTCGATTTTTTTTTAATCAATTTTTAGGCATCTGGCAATTTCCGCCAGGGTACTGTGAAATCTTGGCCATTGGAGCTACTGTGTATCGGTGGCGCATGACAGCATCGATGCTGTATTGGTTTTTCAGCAATGATGTGATTGTTTCGGAGTTAAAGGAGGCCTCGTTATCGCAATGTATGGTCCTGTACTATGGGCGCGATTGTGCTCGGTGCTAGCGATTTCCAGCTGTTCATTAGCGTTGGTTATGTCGCTGAAGAAGGTTATACAATGTCAGAACTTTGTCGCAGGAAATTCCTGCCTCAAGCCATGTTGGATACGAGCCAGGGTAGGGAAATCACAGTGAATCGCGTTCACAACGTTGACGTTAATGATTTCCTTAACAGATTCAACAAGCGAGTCCTTGTTATTAAAATTAATGATATGGAGGGTTTTATTTCCGAAGATTATGAAAGCCCGCCGAAGCGGTTGGCCTGCTTCTTCCAAAATGATTCGGATTCTAAAGCACTTAAAAGGTTTGCTGTGGTTTCTATGGTGGTTTTGGAGTTTTCTCTTTCGCTGGTGGCGTAGTTCAGTTCGCAGTCTTTTAGAGTGCGTGAAATCATCGTAACAGGTCTTTTATTCTGGGACAGTACCGCGCCTATTCCACTCGCTGAAGAGTCGGTGGTTAAGTAAAACGGTAGTTTAAAAAGGTTTTTAATATAAATTTTTTTTATTAAAAATTTTTTTTTAATATTTTAAAATATTCTTCACTGGGTTTCATCAAACCTGACAGCTACTTTTTTCGACATATTCTTGCTGACCGTCCCGGTTTCCTCGTTGAGGATGGCGGTAAGAGGTCTAGCAATAGAGACAAAATTTTTTACAAAGCTTACAAAGGACCTAAAAGAAGGCTAAACAGATTTCTTGGCTCTGGGAATTCTTTTATTGCCCTGACTTTTTCTGAGTCTGTACTTGTTCCTCCTCTACTGACAATAAATCCTAAAAATGCAACGCTCCCTTTAAAGAACTTTGTTTTTCCCGTCCCACCCTCATGTTGGCATCGAGTAAGCGCTGAAGCACTGTGTCAATGTGCTGGACATGTTCCGTTTTATTTTCGGGAAAGATGATAACGTCATCAACGTAGTCGAAGCATATTTTGCCGATTTCTTCCCGCAGTACGTCGTCGATGGCTCTTTGGAAAATACTCCCTGCGTTCTTTAGGCCGAAGGGTAATCGGCAAAATTCGTATTTCCCACCATTAATTGAATTGATTTGGGTCTTCTCCCGGTCCTTTTCAGCCAGGTATATTTGATGGTACCCTGACCTTAACTCTAGGGTGGTAATGAATTTACCTTCCCCAAGTTGAAAACACCTTAATTCTTTTCAGAATAATTTTCTTGAATTTGACTTTAGCCGAACTTGGCACCACTATATCATCGATTTTTGAGTCAAAAAATTTAAGCTTTTCGGTGACGTTCGCGTATTTTATTACGCTGTTGCCTAAGTCCAATGCCTGCCCGCGTTAGCGAATCGAAGCCTATTATAGCATCGAACGTGTCAGTGTATCCAAGAGGAAAAATGGGACGTCTAGTCCAAAAATGCGCATTAAGCACTTGTTTTTGACGTCACTGGAGCCGTAAATAGAGCTCACAGAGAAAGGGGTCTCGACCGGCTCCTTAACGGGCTTTTTTGCCGCCCCGTGTCGATGAGAATTTTTACTGTTCTGCCAGCCTTTGGCGTTGGCGTCTTTGGCCCGATTGCCGCTGGGACGAGTTCTGCCTTTTGTAATTGTTATAACTTTGTGGCTTTCCCCAGCTTGTTCCTTGTCTAAATTTAGCCGTTGAGGGGTCTACCTCCATGGGCTGAACTTTATTGTGGTCATAGGTTCCAAGATCCCTGCGCTTCGGACAGGGATTGTCCCCATCAGGCCTGCCTTGGTTCTGCTTAGGAATGAATTGCGGATTTTTATCCTCACCTCTCCATTGCTTTCCCTGACCTTTAATGTCGTCTATACCTTTCGCGTAAGATGCCGCGAATGCACTTCTTTCGATGCTGTTCTCGGCTTATTGCGCTAACGCTGACGGAAGGTCTTTGGGTTGTGCTGGTAGCACGAGTGACTTGAGTGGCCTTTTAAGCCCTGCAATGAATGCATGAAGGGCGTCATCCCTAACCTCCTTATTTAGGACGGTTGCTGTGTCCGTGTTGTGTGACATGACTATTTTGTTGGTGACGAGCGTGCGTTTCCTCTCGACCTCGTCATAGTATGTCATGAGGACGGCATCTCCTTGCCGACCCATTTCCAAATTTTGCCGCAGCACTCTTAGGGACGTTTTGGCTAGAATTGCATCGAAATTCAGCACTGTGTTGTGGGACGTGAGGAGTGACCGAGCGGGACCGCATATCTTTAACTTAAATAACCTTCTTATTAAAATAAAAGGCAGCAAACGTTACGTTCGTTGTTGGAGAACAAATAAGACTGAGTGTGATATTTGATATATTTTCATAGATGATATAGAATTTAATACGATTTTTTGAAAATATTCTATAACCCTAATTCTGTTTGTACAAAATAATTCGATAAATAGAAATACATGTATGTAAGTATAATATCATACTTACACAGTTTTTCATTTTCGTTAGTTCCAGTGAATTCATCAAAATTCAAAGTGTCACCTGATATTGAAATGAAATCAGGATTTTGCTAAAAACAAAAAGGTACTAGAAAACTTTTTAAACTTCTTTATGTGTGTATGTACATATGTAGGTATAATATCACTTTTACACGTCTTCCATTTTCTTTGCTTCCAGTTCATTCAAATTGTCACCTGATGTGGAAATGGAATCAGGATATTGCAAAATAAAATAAAAATAAAACGTACTAGTAAACTTTTAAAGCTTATTGATTATACGGGTTAATAAATTGGTATGATATTTAAGCAAAAGTACACTACTATTTAAGCAGCTATTAACAAAGAAGTAGTCCGATAATAACTTGTCTTTATCGGATTGCGATTGTGACATCTTTTGTGTGCAACCTTTCAGTACTCATTCTTGACAGTGTTGAAAAACAGGCATGCTTGACTACAATTGTCACGTTGAAAGCAAATAGAAGTTGGGGAATTGATTGGAGCATATGGAACGTTATTGTCCTTAACGTGTCGCCTACCTGAATGCAATTCGATAGAATATTTTTCCGCAAATATTAATACCGTCCTTGACCAACTAAGCGAACAAATTCAAAAATGAGTGACGTTTTTACAAGCAAACCATTCTCTGAAACAGTACCCGGTAAGTAATTTTGTTACGCAATTGTTATATCGCTGACTATTTTCTTATGTTCTTATGAAGATGAAGCAGCAACAACAAACTACGCTTCTGTTGCGACTACTTTTCGTAGGGCTTCTGTCTCGCCGTATCTCAATTATGATTCACGGTACTTGCAGACACAGCCGGAGTTCATTTTTCCCGAGGGTGCCAATAAACAGCGTGGACGCTTTGAGCTGGCTTTCTCGCAAATAGGAACTTCGGTGATGGTTGGTGGCGGTATCGGAGGTATGGCGGGCATTTATAATGGTTTCAAAGTCACCACAGTGCTGGAACAAAAGGGAAAATTGCGACGAACACAGTAAGCTACGAAATAAGTGAGATAATTTTAAAATAAATTGTTCCATCGGAATTGTAGGTTAATCAATCATATTATGAAGCAAGGTTCGGGGACGGCGAACACTCTGGGTACGCTAGCAGTTCTGTATTCGGCGTGTGGTGTACTTCTACAGTTTGTCCGAGGGCAGGATGACCATATTAACACTTTGATTGCGGGGTCTGCCACTGGATTGTTATACAAGTCCACAGGTAAACGGATCTGCTTTATTTTATATAAAAATATATATGTATCTGATCTAATAATTTCAGCTGGCATGCGAAGGTGCGCATATGGTGGCGCTGTCGGGTTGGGCATATCGTCACTCTATTGCCTATATCTGCTGGCGCAAGAAAATAGCACGAGCTCAAGAGTCAAATTTCTGTAAATGTCTGAAAGCTATAGTTGTGTAATTGCGTATAGATTGTAAAGACATTTTGGCGTTATAACGTTGAACTTCGTTTTATATACATTTATTTATTTAGTTATTCGTAAAATTTATTCCATTGAAGATAAAGCCACACATTGCCTTACACAATTCATTTAGAACCCATTTTTGCTTTCGCTCTAATAGTCCAAATTTTCTGTATCTGTTCCAACCACGATTGCCTTGGATCCCCCGTCAACAATGTTATTTGCCGGAGCTTCGCAGCTAGTATCCTGTGTGGAGCACCTTTGGCAGTTACAATTCACAGCTTCCGTATATTGGTATTTTCTAACGCTTTCCTCTGTATTAGGGTGACAATTTTTTAGGATGGCTGTCACTGAGTGCCGCTTGGCGTGGACACAAACTGGATGGAACGAACGTTTATAAGGGAATTTCCAATCGGAAATCTCGCTAGAGTCGCACCGTCCCCAACATGACCACACGCTCACATAGTCCCAACACTCATGTCCAAGCAGATCGGACTGTGTCACTTTATAAGTATATAGGCGACGATGACAGCCCAAGGGCGTGCTAGTAAAATCGCTGTTAATGCGCTCAAATTCCACCAACTTTGAAGCAGAAAAACGCATGACAGACGCACCAACTGACAGAGCAAAGATCCTGTGTAAACATAACATAGCAATGCTAAACCAACAGTGTTAAATGTATTTCAGAATACCTTACAAAACTTCAAAGCAGGCCATTATAGTTTTCGATGCGGCTTCTCTTTATCAACTACGAGGCCTGCAAATAAAATTGCGTATTTATGTAGAAGTCGAAAGTGTAAACTGAGCCTGCGCTGCCAGTAATGGCAGCTTACATCGCAACTTTCGCTTAAGAGTTCTTCATTGTACTTTTGATTCAATTTCAATTCAATGAATTTTATTATAAATATATGACGCTTTGTCTTGATTATCTATTCTATTATAATTATAAGTATAAAAACGTAGACATACATAGATATTCATTTGGATATATATGTAAGTATATGTATACCTTAATCGGCATCACTAGCCTAGTCTAGAATCTAGCCGTTTTTGTCTGTTTAGTGTGTATGTAGAATTTTCTTGCTCAGTCGGATCAGCGCATGCCTACGCCTACTTTTCCAAAAAAATTTAAATTAATTAAAACACCACTTGCTTCCCAAAATATCCAAAATTAATTAAGACGATTTTATTAATAGCAGCGTTTTAAAAGCTACGCCACTCCCGTAGTATTTCGGGTTGCTATTGCTACAGTAGCCAAAAATTAAAAGGTGAGAGCAGAACCAATTATATTTTGACATAGTAAAATAAATTGAAAGCAATAAATAATAATAATAATAGTAATAGTTTTATTAGAAAAAAAATTTATTAAATCGCATTAGGGTATAGGGTGTAGCGGACAAGATTAGCTTTATAGCTTAATTAATTTCCACATTTTTTAAAAATTCTTACTTGAGTTAGCGATATAGCAAAACAAACATGTTTGGCTTAGTTCGTAAAGCTCTGCAACGAATGACTTTTACTCTTTTAAGAAATAAAAAAATTATTAAACGTTTTTATATAATTTAACAATAATTTCAATGATTTAATCTTTCCATGGACATCTGTTGACTCAGTTAAAAAAACGCTTGCACTAAATTAGTCGTCCAATATACCAAAATTACTTTCATTAGTGTTAGTCTCCGAAGGCATAGAATTAGTCGATAATAAATTTGGAATGATTTGATCTGTTCCCACAGCTGAAATAAATTAATTGTCCTTTTAATAAAGTGGAATCTCCGGTCTCAGTATAAATAAGTGCCAAAGCTAAAGTTAGATACTAACTTTTTAGTGAGTTCGTCCATATTTTCATAAATAATTAAGCCTTTGTTGGAATAGCTGGTCCCTATTGCAAGCCATAGAGCATAAAAACTTCCATAGTATAGTTGTTCTTCTTGAAACTGCACCATGGTCTTTTATAGTGGATCCATTATAGTAAGTTCAAGTCCATAAAATAGTATATCATTTCATCCACTACAAAATTGTCATCTTTTTATTTATTATTACAAGTTTCAATAAGGCTTAATATATTGAGTTAACTATCCACGCTATAAGGTGATCTTCATCTAGTTCGACAATCCAATTAAGGTAATTTATCCGTATTCGTTTGATTGCTTCCGAATGTATAAGGTAAGATTGCGGAAGAATAACAATTATCCTTGTATATGTATTTGTATTTTTTTAACGTCAAATATACAAAGCTGTCCAGTTTGTGATGCACATCGACACATTGGTGCATACATATATCACCCACCTGAATTATGTTGAATACAGGCATCGTCAGTGTTATCATCGATCATGCAAATTAATTTTCTCTCCAGTGAATTTGATAAAAAAGATTTATTTTTATTTTCGCAATCGCTTATTCACTACTCTGGGAGGAATAATTTGGAGGCGAAGATGACTGAATTAGCTGTCCATGGATTTATCTCGGGTCTGTCAGAGTTATTTGGAAATTAGTTTTCGGTTGAGTTATTTATAAATTATTGGCGTAAAAGCCACTAAATAATGTGTAATATAACTTGTATATGTTGAGGACAACTCTATTGTGGTAAACAACTACAGAAGTAATTATCGCGGCAGATAGAATAGCAGAGGTTACTACCAATACAATGGTTATTAAAATCGTAGAAACCAGGGGTATACAAATATGTTTTCAATAATAATACTAGAGGTCGTGGAAATTATAGAGGTAAAGCTGTGGTGCAGCTTTTACAAAAGCAATAAAACTAGGGGAAACTCAAATAATATTAAGTAATCATTTTTTTGGCACAATTGGAAAACTAAATATTTTCGTAAACGTTTAAATAGTAAACAATGACTCCCAAAACCCTGCGATGGCATGAATAGTGGGAGTGGATTTCATAAAAAGTTTAATTGCCAACTTGACTTTCAAAATCACGGTTGGTTAATAATTTGACCGTAACATTTCAATCAAGATATTAATTATTCAAGTATGCACTCAATATATATATATATCATATTATTCGGTCACACTAAATCAGGCTTACGAGCTTAAAATTGGATTTCTCGGGTGTTCCCGCCACTGCGACCACCACAGCCACAGCAACTGCCAACCAGTCCAGCTCTGCGAGGGTGGCTGGTGATCGGCAACGGCCACAGACTCCAAAGAAAGTGGAACAGCCGCCAGGAAAGCGAACTCCACGACTGTAGAAGTGGCGGCCCTAATGGGAAGGATCGGACTTTTAGAATCGGAGATGGTGAAGGCAAGGGCAAGTGAAGGACAAGCAGAGGCCGCAAGGGATTCCGTTGGAATCGGGACACGCGACGTTGGAGTGAGCGGTGCAGCGAATACATCGCCATGTTACCCGCCACGGGAGCCGACACATAATTTGGAGGCAGCTGCCATCTCGAATGGCAACGATGAGCAAACCTGGATGGACGCCACGTAGATTGCCTGATCTTCCCGATTTCCATAGGAATGGCCAATATTCCTGTGCGTGTTCAGACGACGGCAGCTTACCAGTTTACAGAACTGGAGAATAACCAGAGGTTAGTGAAAGCCCTGAATGGCGACACCCGAGCATCAGTGAAGCCGCTCCTTATCCACCCTAGCAATGTGCAAGCTGTTATGGAACAGCTCCGATTCCGTTATGGACGTCCGGAGCTATTGATCCGTAGCCAACTGGAGAGCGTGCGCGATGTCCAGCCAATTCAAGAGGCCAACATCGCAAGGATCGTGCCGTTCGCCACTAAGGTGACCAACCTGGCAGAGTTCCTGTAGTCAACCACGACCGGCAACCAGCACCTAGGGAACCCAACCCTAATGGGGGAGCTGATTGCCAAGTTGCCGGTGATCAAGAGGTTTGACTGGTCGAAGAACGCGGCTACGATACAGCCGTATCCGACAGTGGTACACCTGAGCGATTGGCTTCATGAATTCGCCAAATTGGGGTGCCTTGTCACGGACGTCGGAATAAAGGAGCACCCGAAGCGAAGGGTTCTGCACGCGAATTCTGTTCGCGAGGAGGAGCGGTGTGCAGACCGCCCCAGATGTTACCCTTTACGTGAGCGACAACTACACGGATCGAGTCCGCCAGGAAGATGAGGTTAAGTTTTTCATGTTTGCAAGAAGGGCCGCCGATGCAACGTCTACGGATGCCGAATGAGGCATCACTACCTTCAGAATGTACGGAGTGACCAATTTGAACCTTCCGATGCAAAGCTTGCGTCGGGAAGAGGTGAAGGCAGGGAAGGCGAATGCGCGCCTGCCTGTGAAGCCGTATAACAACGCGACGCAAAGGATCCTAATTGGACTGGATCATGCACATCTAGGAATACTCCTCAGAACCAGAAGCTATGGATCAGGAGGACCATATGCAGCAGCCACCGCACTTGGATGGGTGGTGTATGGGCCGGTGAGTGGAAAGACCAGCTCACCGCTTCAGAGATCGTGCCTTCTAGCAGTGCCACTGGATAATCTTCTAGAGGAGATGGTCAGTGATTATTTCGAGATCGAGAATTTCGGAGTGAAGCTGGCACAGTGAGTCGCAGCTGGCGGATTGAAGCCGGCGCCGCCAGTTGCAGATGAAGGCCCATTTTCGGGAAGGAGCAGTTGGGGTGTGTGCAGACATCAAGGAGATGTTTCATCAGATATTTATGCATATTACTTCCAGTCCAGGAGAAGGTACTAGGTACTGGCAGCTGGCTTCAGGTTCGGCGTCAAATATCATCGAGTCCCGAGGAGCGTGCTGACAGGGGAACGTGTCCCTACAAAGTTTAGAGAGATCTGGCGGCGTGGAATCAGTTGGGACGAGCCGCTACCAGACGAGTTAGCAGTAGCCTTTGAGAATTGGCGGCAAGGAATGAGTAAAATTGAAGAATTCCGATGTCCACGCTACTACTTCGGCGATGGACGAGTGCGGACACTACAGCTGCAGATCTTTGTGGACTCCAGCCAGTCGGCGTTCGCAGCAGCGGCCTATTGGCGAGCCACATACGAAAGCGGAGACGTGCGGGCGCATTTTGTGTGAAGACGATTGTGATTGTGCATCATCACCATGAAAGGATGTGCCACAAAAACATAGATGCAACTATTGGAGCGATCCGGCAAAAGTTCTGGATAACAAACTTAAGGAGGTTGCTACGGAAGATGAGGAGCAAATGCAACGTTTGCATGAAACGGAGGGCGCGACCAGAGCAGCCCGAGATGGGTCCCCTGTCAGAGGACCGCCTGGATGGCCATTTAAGTTTACCGGCCTGGATTACCTTGGACCACTATTTGTGACTGTTGGACGTCACACGGAGAAAAGTTGAGTGGCATTGTTTATATGTCTAACCACAAGGGCTATCCACTTGGTCCTGGCCCACGATTTGTCTACAAATTCCTGTATAATCGCCATGAGGAACTTCATGAGCCGCCGTGGGCCGGTGGTCAGGATAAGGAGCGACAACGGGAAGAATTTCTTTGGAGCCAATCGGGAAGCCATAAGGTTCAGCGAAGTGTTTGAGCCTGCACAGATCCAAGGCGAGCTGTCGTCTAAAGGAGTCGAGTGGACCTTTACTTGCCCAGCGAACCCAGCTGAGGGTGGCGCCTGGGAAAGGATGGTGCAGTGCGTGAAGAAGGTGCTGGCGCACACGATAAAGGAGATCGCGCCCAAGGAGCACGTACTGAAGAATCCGTTGATTGATGCGGAGAGCATAGTGAACTCTTGTCCGCTCACTCATCTAGCATTGACGGTGGCAGTGGAATCTCCACTGACACCCAACGATTTGCTGAAGGGAGTGCCGGAAGATCCGGACGTTCCCACAGATGACGGACAGGAGTCCGAGAGATTCGCTAACAGGAAGCAGTGTCGCATAGCAAGAATGATGCGGGTTCGGTTCTGGAAGCGGTGGGTACATGAGTACCTGCCAACACTTGTAAGCAGGGAGAGATGGTGCAAGCACGTCGAGCCCATTCGTCGAGGAGATCTGGTGTTCATATGTGATCCGGCCATACCACGAAGAGAGTGGAAACGAGGCGTCGTGGAAGGGGTGTTCACCGGAAGAGATTGAGTACTCGTCAAGCGACGGTGCGGACTATCGATCGAGCTAAGACGACAATCCGTCCCGCTTCGAAGCTAGCTGTCCTGGACGTGGGGATGTCGCGGAACGGATTAGGGCTATCAATAGTTAAGGTTGAATTTAGTATTCAGTATTGTTTGTGTGAGGATTTCTAGGGTCATGTTATTCGGTTTTACTAAATCGGGCTTACGAGCTTAAAATTGGCGGCCTGGGCTAAACCGATTTGCGCCATCACAGAGAGAGGGAAGAGAAACTTCGGTATGTCGGCTAAGTAATTGTATTTCAGGTTAGGCTAACTAATGTACATATTTCAGAATAAAATACTATCTCCAACTCACTCTATTGTTGCCTTTGATATCGCTAACCAAGCGGCGAAATCAACTAGTATTCCAAAGACATTTCCCCGTGATCGACCGAGCGGCGACAATAATAATTAAATTATCCCAGCACGATCCGAAATCAATTAATGGATGATGGCATCATTATAGCCAGCACACACATTGCAACCCAGGAGCGGTGGTGAAGCTGCCTACGTGGACACAGTGAGACCATGGAAGGGGGTTCGAGGCAAGGATATGCAGAGTTTGCAATCTGGCAACCGAGGCGAAAAAGGATCTCGCCAAACCTGTGAGAGTTGGCCTTAGGGCACGGAAAGCTAGAGTCATAGTGTTTTTTCTTTGTGAATAAACGGAAGTATTATAATGTGCTAAGAAAATATTCCGCCTTCATCCAGTTGCAATCGCCAACCCAATTTCTCAAAAAATCCAATTTGCTCAAACGACACCCAGTTTCGTTGGTAAGGACATTCTGTTTATGGGGATAATACTGTCAGGCCTCCACAGTCCGCGAGGCTATGCACGTTTTTTTGCTGGTTACAATGGCATGGTAGTAACCAAGAGCAAAAACCCATCGGCAACTGTGTGCGCAGCTAAAATAAAATTAGACTACGGTTCCGCATCAGCTGCAGAAATTGTTTTAAGTAGACTCTAGCAGTTTTGGCTTCGCTCTTTGGGTTTAGGAGGTAAGCACCATCCTGAAATTAAATGGTTTATTGGCTCAATAAATTAATCCAGAACTCCAAAGGAAATTCAAATAATTATTATTATTATTCATTATTATTATTATTATTTTTGCACTCAACATTATCTGAAAATTTAACAAAGGAGGGCTTTAACTTTATGAAACCACCAGCTTTATTTTATTCCTAATGAGTCTAATATTTATCCGCCCAAATCCTGAACTCCTGGCATCTTATCTCGGATCTGCTGTTATTCGGAGTTACAATATACATACATTTTTTTATCTCATCTTTTTAGTTATTTTTGTTTTGATATGCTATTTTTAATCGTTTAACTAGCAATACCTTAATCTTCTTAATCTCACCATTCGGCTGAGGCCAGTAGTTTTAATCTGCTCTATACCACAAACTTTGCAATATTCTTAAAACTCACTGCTGATATTTTGTCGTCCATTGTCAGTAGTAAGTTGATAGGTCATGTCTGCAGAAAATGACTATTATTGTATCGATCATGGTCGCTGAAGTTATAGAGTGCAGGAATTTAAAATCCATGTATCGC